CGTGACGTTGCTGGGGCAGTGCAGTTGCGTTTTCTTCTGCATCTCCCGGATCCCTGAGGGCGGTGAGACGGAGGGGAGGACAGAGCTGCATCTGGATGGACAGTGACTGCCCTGGCAAGAGAGACCTCCCGGGGCCCTGGGGGACCATTTCAGGGAGAGCAGCCCCCATGAGGGAGAGAGGGCCCTAGAGATCTGGGACCCTTTGTGGCCCCACGTCTGCATCTGAGCTGGCTGGGGCTTGGCTGTGCGTGGTGGGGACAGGCCAGAGCAGCCAGAGGCCGCAGTGGTGGGAGGGCAGCTGCAGGACCGTGGGAGCTTGGAGAGAGAGGGGACGTGGTCTCTGGCCACCGCAGAGCCATCTCAAGGATAGCCCTGAGATGGCACCGTGTGGTCGGGCCACCTGGACGGAGCCCACAGCTGGGTCTGCAGGGCCTGCATGTGAGCTAGGACTCCGTGATGGATGCAGAGAGCTGCCAGCTGTGCCGCCCAGGACAGCCTTGTAGGGATGGTCCGGTGCTGGTGACCCCAGCCGATCTGGAGTGTCCACCTTTCTTCCATCTTTCCCTGCCCTCCATGTACGAATTTCATCGGAACTCCAGAGGGTGTGGGCCAACACCACACCATGACGTTACTCAGCCAGAAGCAGGAAGGAAATTCTGACACTCGATGACACTCTTGAGGGAAAGAAGCCAGACACCAAAGGCCGCCCGTTGTGAGACTCCATTTATATGAAATGTCCAGAGGAGGCAAATTTAGAGACCGAAAGTGGGTCAGTGGTTTCCAGGGGCTGGAGGTGTGGGGCAGTTGGGAGCCCCTGAAAAGCTGCAGGCTGGGGGCTGGTCTCCGGCAAGACAGGGTGCGGTTAGAGGGAGGCCACATCCAGCGCCACCCTCAACCCCCAGGGAAGGAGGAGCTGGGTGGGCGAACCACCAAAGGTTAAGGGAAGAACCCCGGAAAGGAGGGAGGGGAGGGGAGGGGGAGGGGAGGGAGGGGTTCAAGCAGCCACCGGCCCAGACGGAAGCCTAAGGCGACTGAAGCGGAGGCCAGACGCTCGTGGGGACACACTGACACCCTCAAGTGGGATATTTAGACAAACTGGGAAAGTTCTGAAACAAAGCAAAACACGTAATAAGCCGGCACAAGAGGGCAGAGAAGTTGGCGGAGGATGGGAGACGGAAGCCCACCGTCGCTGCACCTGCCGGGGTGGGCCCCCCACCCCGTAGGTGCGTTGGGAGGTGCCCGGGGTGCCCACTGGGGCCACAGGACAGCCGTCTGTGGGACGCGCCCGCCAGGCGTCCCCGCTGAGCGGGGCAGGACCAGGAGGGGAGGAGGGCACGCGGGAGCACGCCACGAAGCCCCCTCCTCCCACCGTGCGCCTCCAGCCCCCACATTGACCAACATCCTGCCGGGCAGCAGAGAAGATCCGTCCGCAGGGTGTGGCTCCCGAACACGAAGGGCAGCAGAGGGCAGATCTGGGCCGGGAGATCTAACGCGATGCCAGGTGCGCCTGCCCCTTCGGCGGCACAACGCCCTCGCGCTCGCTCCCTTCCCCGCGCACGCGAACTGCCCGACAGGATGGGGAAACGGCGACTCCCCCCAACGGGGGGTCCCTCCTACAGGCGAGGGAGGGGCGCGCCCTTCTCCCGGCACGGGCGCAGCGCCGTCCCCGCCCCACCCCGCGGTCGCCGGGCCACTCCCTTCTCACAGCCAGCCGCAGTCCTGCTGAAGGTTCCGCTTCCAAAATACAAAGCTGTGATGTTCATCTCAGCGGCACGTGCACGCAGCAGGCGTGGGAAGAAGGAAGGGAGCCGCAGACGCTGGCGCGGCCCAGGAGCCGGCG